GTTTTAATTTAAAACACGAAGGGAGGAATTTCCTAGTAGTCTCGCTTCTCTCCCCTCCTCAATCCAAGACTCCCTTCACTTTGAGTGGAAGATGCTTCAACAGAGGGGGAGGGGAAAAAAAAAAAAAAAAAGATTAAATGTAGTTTGATGACTAACGTGAGAAGGGTCTCAGCTTTTTTGCTACAGATTTTAACCAGGCTTCCCTCTGGCTCCCAGCTTCTGACTCCCACACCTACACCTCCTCTCAGGAGGGAGAACAGGATTCTCTGGTTAGCCTTACAAACGCTCCTTCCCATGTCTCAAGGCTCCCATTTATGCGTCATACTTTGAATGCAAACTATGGGATGGGACGGCCTCTCTGTTGTGCGTTTAAAGCAGTACACAGCTATTGTTCCCAGTCCACAGAAAGTGCTTTTACAGTCTGCCACCCCGCAGCCTACCATGGGGCAACAGCAACTCAGGTCTGAATGGGCAAGGTTTAGCTCAGCATTTTCTGACCATCAGGGCCCCAAGGAGCTTTTTTGGTCCGTACAGGTAAATTGCAATGGAAAATTTTGACTGAATGACTCAAATCACCACTCTGTTCCCAGATCTGAAGCTAAAAGCGTGTGTACTCTTCCCTTTTTCCCTCTGCCTGGGTCCCTAGGGTCTCCTTTAATGTCTGAAAGGAGACAGAAGGAAACAGGAAGAGGCAGCCCATTCTCAGAAAGGGACAGCTTTTCAACTTTTTCATTTAGCCTCTTCTGGAAAACTCTCAGACCTTATCCTGCTACAAGGTCTCCCCTGTGGGTATTCCCCATTCACTTGTCTAGAAGCGATTAGTCTCTCGAGACAGATCCTGAGAAGTTATCTGCTGCAGCCTCAGACGCAGTTCTGCAGTCTAGGACCTTGTCCTCAGTCCCAGAAGTCCTCTTAAATCTTAGCTAAAATTCATTTATCAAGATCCAACTGGAAAGAAAGGTAGGTCAAAAACCTGGCAAGGGGGCTGGAGTTACTGGAGGTTGGAACTGGGACAGAAGACCCTTTACTGCTGTTGCTGCTTTGAGTTCAGCAAGCTTTGAGGTCCTCCTGTTGCTACCCTGCAGACAGGAGGCAGAAACCTCTATCCTGCAAAGTGGAAGCGTGCACAAACTTCTGCACGTGGCGAGAAAAACACAGCTCGCTGAAGAGCCACAGAAGCACCGAAAGCTGCAGAGACCCCAACAGCTTCGGGCACAAAAGGATGTGCTGAAGGTGACTGTCCTTTTGACATCAGCTGACCTCAGTAGTCTCCACTTTTGACTAAGCACAGCAAAGAAGCCACGGTTGCCACTGTACTTTTTTTTTCTTCCCTTTTTTTTTACCATCAGGACCCAACGAAAAACACTACAGTCAAATCAGTCCTTTGGTTAATACATAGGTACCAATACCCCTTCTCAGCAAAAACATGCAATGGTCCTAAGGTCAAAAAATCCAACCTTAAAAACCTACAATACATGGGAAGCAGCAAAGCCCAGTTTCTTCCCTAAACCTTGGAGCACCCCAACTCCCTTCCTTTTTGACTTCTGCTTCTCTCCCTGGCACAGTCTTGCTTCTGCTCCCTGTCACCAGGGCACCGGGGAGAGAAGCTGGGAGAGGCCAGAGCTGCCGGGCACGGGGACACCAGTTGCGATGCCCTCCACTTCAGGGCCCTGCCCCACTCCAAGTACCAGCAGCAGAGCAGGCTCTGGCACTCATAAACCAGCGGACTGCCTTGCCAAAAATCTCTGCTCTGCTTGTCCTTGGAACAGGTTTCACACCTGCTCAGCCTGCCTGCAACTGCACAGAGACAGCAGGTTATGAGGACTGTCCCCCTGACTCTTCCTAGCACTTCTTGGCCAGTCATCTAGCAGCAAGAAGAGAAAAAGCGTTTTACTGTGATGTGCCCAGTTAGCATTAAGCAACAAGAAGCTGTTACCCTGCTGGACATGATTGCACACAAGAAGGCTCCTTCATGCTTAACACCTCAATGTGCAAAAGGCTGCTCAGAGATGCTGAGGGAAAAAAAACCCAAAAACCAAGAAACCACAACAGCAACCAAAAAAAAGCCAAACTCCAAACTGAAAATGCCTTTTGTCAAAGCAGAACCCAGAAAGCTTAGAATGACAGGTCCCCTTCATACTGCTACTGCAGATATGGCCATACTCTGTGGAGTAAGGTCTGCCTCCTCCCCACATCGGTCACTGCATGGGTGCAGAAAGAACTCTCAAACAACAACAAAAAAAATCTGACCTTGGAAGACGCAAACACAGGAATGTGTAATTTTCTAAATATAAAATCAAGGTCAAAGAAGGTCAGTAACTCTATCAAACAGTGCCACAAAACGACAGCCATAGGCCAGCAGCGTCACCAGGGGAACAGAGCTACTTAAAGGGCGCTCGCCAGAGTGATCTGATAAAGATCCAACTCCGATTTCCTTACAAGGGTCACAATCGCTGTTCCCATAACAGAAGCCAGATGCACCAGAATAAAGTTTTCTTAGCAGAAAACTAGCTGTCCCTTTTAATGGAGTAGATGCGACGGGATTTTCTGACAAAGAAAGCTGTTTCAGCTCGAAGCTCTCGCTGCTTTGCCAAATATCTCGACTAGATGCTTTGCCAAATATCTCGACTAGATGCTTTGCCAAATATCTTGATGCTTAACTTATCAGTGCTTACGTTACTCATGTCTTAATCATCACACAGGATTATCTCCAGCGCAGGTACTTACAGACAGCAAGATTAACTAGATGGACTGACCACCCTCTAGAACAAACAACTTGGCCGAGAGGAGGTACAGAAAGAGGAAGGGAGCCTGTTATAATAACTTATAGCCCAGCAGAGGAAGTACTGCAGCAAACCTGAAAAAAGTAGGAGGGGTGGAGATTGAGCTCATCAGTGAGTGATCCTGCAGAGCTAGAAGCCAAGCCACTCACTTTAGTAATAAGGTGAGTTTCCTGAACAAAACATTTCTACTCTTAGAGCCATCAAAATTTCAGAAAGTCATTTAGATTACTACACCAGATAGAAAGTTCCCCTATTCGGAGTTCCTCATAGTGGAGGAAAGAAAAAAATAAAAGAACAACAAAAAAAAAGAACGAAAACAGGATGCTAAGAATCAGGCTGCTAAAGGTAGTCTCCACAAATGAGGGGTTGGGGGTTTTTTCCTTCCTTTACAAAAAATGGAAAGAAAAGAAAAGAAAAGAAGAAAAGAAGAGTTCTTGAACCAGAAATAGAAAACAGATATATACTAATCTCTGTATATACTAATCTCTGTATGCAGGTCTCTGTTAGCCTTCCCAATCACTCCGGCACCTGCAAAGGAACTGAGCTGTTACTTGAAGTAGAGTTGGCTTAAGACCTGCAAGAAGCCTGCACAAAAAGGAAGAAGGCAACATTACAGTTAAAAATAACTCTGTGGGCTAAATAAAAAAAAATAATTTAAAAAATGCAAGAGTGGTCAAAGCTGTGACTGTGATAAGGGAAACGTGTCAAGATCTGGGCTGCGCTACAAATACTTCACAGAAGTTAATCAGATGAACCAACTAATTTTTTTATTTTTTTTTTTTTTTTCTCTTCACAGTGCAAGACACAGTTAAGGAGAACATGCAAGTCAGAGAAAACATCCTCAGGGAGGTACAAGCAGCACCAACATCAATGCCAGTCTTGTTTTATCCCCTTCATCCCGACCCACATGCTTTGGCTCCAGAATAACATGCGTAAGCACATGTCAAAAACCTACTAATACCACACAATTTCTTGTTTCAGTCTTAAAATACAGGTGAAAAGCATAAAAAGTTCCAGCTTTTTTTTTTTTCCCAGAAGGGCAGCTTGTTTCTGTTGACAGCAGTATAAAGGCATAGAAAGGAAAACACTAGGAAGTAGTAATTGTTAAAAATTTGAAAACAAAAACAGGGAATGAGAAGTTACATATTTGCCTTTCTAGGGCCCTTCTGCACATCAGGTATTGATTTGAAACTGAGAAAAATCTCAAATTAGATTATGACTTCCCCTCTGTGTGTCACAGGTGCGATTTTAGTACATCAAGCTTTACGTACCACATTAATAGAAAGAACTACAAGTTGTGGCTAGGGAAGATGCATGTGTAGAGAAGGGCTGAAGAGCTGTATGTTAGCCAAGCTAAGTAGTCAACAAGACAAAATTCACTAATATTTAAAAAATGTTGGCATTAAGAGCGATTTAGCATGCTAGAAAATGGTGCAACTTGCACTGATGAAATAAACAAGGTTTAAAAACCAATCCATTTTACTGCAGCTGCAGTGAATTAACCCTATCAAAAAAAGAGACTGTCTTTTTTGCAAAATATCCCTCAGTTTAAAAAACAAAAAACACCGAATACTGCCGTTGGAAAGGAGAACTGCATTTAAACAGATGTGGTATCATTCTCCAGACACCACGCGCTCCACTAAAGCTCCTGCTGATCAACTTTCCACACGGCAGCACCGACTACTGAAGGTGGATGTCGACACTTACCAAACTCAAATAAAAGACAAATGTGGGTGTTCATTTGGGGTTTTCTGTTAGTTTGTTTTTGCAACTCCCACATATTCCTTGCTCTCCAGCACGCAGAAGGGAACACTTTGGAGCGTCAAGTGGCTCCGAACAACCTGATAAAGATATTCAAACTGGGGCTGAAGCTCTATAAAGTAAGGCAAGCTATGAGATGGGAGAGCAAGTTCCAACTTAACCTGTGGGTCTGGAAGCAAGGTACAGTTTACCTCCATGATCGCTTTGGCCTCGCTTCCTAACCTACCGCAAAGGAATCAAACCGTCAAGATCCAAACCTGAACAAGAATTCCAGATTTCTTATGTTACAAAAAGCTAGCGCATTAAAAACTAACACGTTATCAAGAAACACCAACTGTGCTAAAACCATCATGCTGAATGCACACAAAATCTTAACAACTCACATTTCCTTTCTGGCTAGGACCCTGAAGGGAAAAAGACTGGTAATTAAATTGATTAGAAATGAAACCAACTTACTTGCAATATCCTGTACCGTTTTGATATGGAATGCACTTTCCCTCATTAACACACGGCCTGGAATCATCCATGCACTGCAAAGCTGAAAGACAAGAAAACAACAGTCAAATCAGTAGCCATACATGTCAAGTCAAAGCTTCGTTAGCATATTGTGGGGAATGAAAATCTTGAAGTAGAAAACTTTATACAACTGGAACAAAGACAAAGACACTATCACACAGTTTAATTTAATCTCCGGCAGCATCAAAAGACCCAGACTGAAAGAAGAGTCAAATACAGATTCGTTCAGCAGGCAACTAAATGTTTCCAGAATTTCTTTTAGGTAGATTTTCAAAGCAAAGCATGCAGCAATTTCAGCAAACTACAAAGACATTCGTGTCAGCACTTGTGTATTTTGGGTTAAGTGTCACCACTTAGTAGTTTTTCATGAAAATTTTGCACTAGAATTCTCTGAAATAAAAGGCAATTACTCCTAAGCCTTCTTTCACAATATTTTGTCTCAAATTCTTTCCATCTTTTATACCATCTCTAGGGACACCTGGCACTGAAATAGGGGAATCCATCCCTCACCTGCTGGACTTTTCTAGCAATCCAGAATTTGCTGCAACATCATCACTGCTGTGGCTGTCTGATTTCAGTTCGCATTGCGTTTGGGAAGATTTTCGCAAAGATTTTGGTATTTCTAAGGAGCAGATACTCTGTAGCTCAAGCCTGACATTTTCGGTATTATGTTTTTAGAAGGCATTAAGTATGATACGGTTCAGGACCGGCTGATTTTTATTCAAGTCTACTGGAAGTTCTAGAGAGGCCCCTTCGGATGGAAGCAACACACCAGCTCTAGCTCTGGTAAGTGCTCATCTCTTCACGGGGACCTGAAGCAGCACTCTGGGGCTATTTCTGAAGTGACCAGAAGAGTGAGAGCTACAGAAATCTTACAGAGCAGAGGGAACTCTAGAGCCACAAAAATTCAGCCATTCCATCTTTTGAATAGCACCAAACTAGTGGATAAAGCTCCAAGAATCAGAAGGCCTGGGTGCTATCCTAAACTTACCCACACGCCAAGAAGTCACAAGCTCCTCCCAGCCCCCATTTCTGACTCCTGGCCCCCGAACACACACACTTCGCGCTTTTTCGTATCTTATTTCAACAACCTGACGGCATTTGGGAAAGCATTTAGCGAATCTTCAAGTCACCTAGAGGCATCAATGACATCCAACTACCTAAAATACCTGCTGGCGTCCCAGGTGTTGTAGGGCAGGTTGCCTGTTATAAGAATGGTTTTCCTCTCCTGAACAGATATTAAATTTTCAATACAAATCCAGCAAGGGGCATCAGGGAAAACTGGTTCAAACCATCACCAAAGCTTATATGCTGGTTACTGAGGAACGGGGCTCAGAAACAGAAGAGTTAACACATCAGTCCCACTAAGGTCTCTCTGAAACCAGCCCAAATTCAGTCCAGCAATTAGACAACTTGGAACAGACTCCAGTCATTGCTATCCAGGGCTTGAAGTGTTATTTCTCAATAACCCTGGGTGACATAAAAAAGGTCACATGGACTACGAGGTACTATAGGAGCATTTCACACTTGCAATCCCTACAGAGGATACAGTTAAATTAATCCTAGCTGCCCAGGAAAATTACCAATATTTCCCACAATACGAGTATGCCTGTTTCTGTTAACTTGATATCTGAAAAAGGGGCACTCAGATTGCGCTGCTTCTGCAGAGCTCTCAGGAAATGAACAAAATTCCACTCTGAGCCCCTTTCAGATAACCCCTGAGGTCAGGGTTACTAAGCAACAGAAATATTAACACGGATTTTGCATGGCATTCCTCTCCACAGAGGTCAAAAACGCTTACACTGATTTGCACCTGTCTGACAATTTTTATCCCATTTAAACGCATCGCCCACGAGGCTTTGACTCCCAAACTTCATCTGCTTCTGTCTAACACTCCAGCAGCTTGTTTTCACAGCAAAGATTAGCTCCAGTTAGCACAGTTCAGTCACGCTGCGTTCAAGAGAAACTGCAAAAGGACCCGTAGGGATTCGGAATTCTCTTACCACCTACGCTACTCCAGGAAAATGAAGGTTAAAATCAGCCTCACCCCATTTCAGAGAACCGGGAAGGGAAGCAGACTTGGTATTCTCATCTCAGTACCTTGAATTTTTTCATTCTTTTCACACCGATCAAGCCAGTGAAGCAAATACTCAGAGGATTATTTCTTTTGTGCCCATGCTTTCAAACACAATTTTGTAATCTCTTCGAGTACCCACGTCCCCAGAGAGAACTGAGCAGCCAGTTGATTTTGTAACCCACATAGTAAAAGCTTAACTAGCACTTGGCCAAAAACACCTCCCAGCACAACCGCACGGAGGGGAAGAAGAGGGTGACGGCTTTCGGGGTCGCAGTAAGGAACCGAATCAGTGACTCCTGTTCAGCTTGTTGCGCGCCAAATACAGACACGGCAGAGAGGCTTTAGCAAAGTAATGATTAATTTTCTCCTGGCTTTTGACAAATTATTCCTGCCTTGAACTGCTGTTTAGCAGGTCATTAAACTACTGCTAGTCCTTAGAGTTCTTGAACAGAGACATACGGTATGTGGGGCAATGCAGGCAGCTAAAAATATAGTTTGTATATAGTAATTCAAAAGTGAAAGAAGCTAAGAAAACAAAAGCAAAAAGTCCCTTTTGTACTTTTTTGGCTTAAGATTAAAATAGGCTGAATAGAAATACATTGAAACGTAACCAAAGCTGAAGTGAATGTAAATGTAACCGTATGCTATATTAAAATGAGTATTAAAAAGTAACGTGACTCCTTCTCTTTAAAAAAGAAATCACAAGGGAAATTGAAGACTAGAGTTCTCACAGTAAAATCAGCATTTCTGTGCACAAAGCACGGTCTTCCTGTATTTCATGATACCTTTAACAATTTCACAACACAGGCAAAAATCAAGGCATTCAACATGACTCACTTCAAAAAAGATGCTTTCCTGCTACTCTGCCGTGTTGTGCTCAAGAGTTAACAGTATCAGGAACTTCACCTTCTGCCTCAGCCAGCCTAAAACATGTTTTGCTCCATCCATCGTGTTAACTGGAAATGCTTTGGGGTGTACAGCCCAAGAGAAGACACCCTTGCCTTGAGAATACAGCCAGTTTTCTACAAGGCGTAGATAGCAGCAGCATGAGGTCAAGGCTTTGAGTTCAACAGGTTGCTTTTGACAGTTTTCTGCTGTTCAAAAATCGAGCAACAGTGAATTACTTTTTGGCCTTTTGGACTCTCTCTAGCTTGCCAAAACCACCAAGACTATCAGAAGTTGGGTTAGCCCAGACAAAGCATAAGCAGTGGCGTTTCAAGTCCTCGTACTCCTGGGAGTGGAGGGCTCGCTCCAGTGTGCCAGCAGGTCTTCAAGGGGAAATCCTACAGCTTTTCTTTTTTTCTTTCCTTCTTAATGTATGAACTACCTCGTGACGTATTTTTTTTTAATCAGTCCTTTGGGGTATATTATGGAAATATTGGGAAGACATCCCACAATTATCGAAAGACTGGCTTTGTGAAAGAAGCACCCAATTTCTAGTGGGCATCATAGCCAAGTTTGAAAGTTCTCCGATGAGGGCTCCAAATGCATGCAAGAACAAATGTTAGCAGCTATCCCACTCAGCCTATAGCCCACACAAACCCTTGCACAGGCCTGCATTTAGAAACAAATCCTAACCTGACCTTTAACTAGCCTACTAGGACTATTTTCCAAGGCCAGAGGGAAAATCAGGTCGGCGCTGCTGTAAAAGGAGCACAAGCAGAAAGCTTTACTCACAGCAACACTATAGGAATTGCTGCAATTCTTAACATCCAAATCCACAAAAGCTCATACTTAACCAACCAAACTTCATCCAGATTTAATCTTTCTTTGGCTGAGGAGACAGTTAAAGCAAATCTCAGAGGGAAAAAAAAAAAAAAAAAAAGGAAAAAAGTTGTGTTTCTGCCTCATTGTTCTTTTAGAGTGTCAAGATGATCTGGTAGTTGTGATTTAGTTTCTATACTTATCTTCCCACTATAAATTCAGATGCTTCCTAGGCTAGAAAATTAAAAGAAACAGTGAAGGATTAAGACCAGAAACTGTGTCAGAGCTCAGCTTTTACGAGGGAAGACCGCTATAGGGAAATAGCCATAACCAGAGAAAATTAGGAAGGGCTTTGTTGTAAATACAAAAAGGAAAGTAATACCAATAAACTCACCCACAAGTTCAGAAAAAGTCAAGCAGAAATAAAAATGCAAAGTACGAGCTGCTGGTACGGCTGTCTCCTTGCGACGATGCTATATGGGTCTCTCTCTTCTCTCTATCCATAAATTTTCCATTAAGTTCATAGAAACTCAGTATCTTTTAAAGGACCTAGACCTCTGTCATATTTGGCTGAAACTTGCCCATAGGTTCAAAAACTCTCTTGTGGGAGAAGGTAGAAAACAACCTACCTGAACACAGAAGACAAGTCAGGCTAAAAGCCCCATTAGAGACTAGAAAGAAAACTAAAGGACAAAACAGGCTCCAATAATCTTTAAGTAGTCAGTGGATTTTGTGTCTTGGCTGACATTCCTGAGAAATAGCCTGTCATTTCAACTGAATTACCCATCATATATGAAGAAAAAGGAGGACTAAGGATCTAAAGCCCTCAGACAGCAGCAACAGAGGACACATGAAGAATCCATACGCGAGCTCAGGCTGCTTGCCAGAGGTGGATCAGCTCTGAACAGGATGACCATCAGCATGGCCAGAAACTCCAGCTATGCTACAAATCAAGGGGGCTCAAATTCCAGCTCCTGATTCTCTTCAGGAAAAACAGAGCATAAGGGGGAAAAAAAAAAAAAAAAAGAAAATACTGAAACATGAGGCGCGACTCTGGGAGAGGATTGGTCAGTCCTCAATGTGCAGAACGGGACAAAATTCTTCCACAGCACACGAACAGCTGCTGAAAAAAGCTGGTAAGGAATAAGCAGCAGTGCACACACAGACACAGAGATAACCAAATTTTGGAAGAAAACCACAAGGCAGTGATAACTAATTACACTATTTACTAACCTCAACAG